GCAAAACCACTCGAGCTGAAGAGATTGGCACATCCATCCATGTTCCCCAGAGCTCCACTTGTTTCTTCTGGAGTGCTGCAGTTTGCTCTTGCAGGCAAAGTGAGGCAGGATGGCGATGGAAGCAGCTCACCCGAGCTACACTGTGTGCTGTCATTGGTAAGCTGTGGGCAGAGCTGCATTGTGCTTGTATTGATTCACATTTGCCAAGAATAATTACTCTCCCAGCTGCTTGGATTCAAGACAGTGTTTTCTTGCTTTAGAAGGACATACCTGCATTTTTCAGAGAAAGGCTGCAGTAACTAACAGTGTTCCCCCCCGGTGAGGCTCCTTTTCCTTGCAGACAGAAGGCACAGCAGTGCAGAGTGCAGGCAAGAGGATGGAGAAGAATCCACTTGTGTAACAGCAGAAACCAGACAGGAATTATTTTGCAAACAACAAGAAAGCGCCTTCTATGTACAAAGCATCTTTTTTCTGTCTTCCTGGAAATGCAAGCCCCTTGCTCTTCTCCTTAGTTCAGAGGCATCCCACAGTGTTCTGCAGCAAGACCTGAAGACCTGCAAAACAGAAAACTGCCAGGCAGCAGAGGCTGCAGCTGAGTCTCTGCAAAGGTGAGAAAACTGTTTACACACAGGAAAAAAATGTATTTCAGCTGAATCACTTCAATTTTGCTTTTATTTTTTAGCAGATTCAGTTTTAAGCACCAAAATCCCAGCTGTGGGAGACCTGGGAGTCCTCACATGTCACTAGATTGTTTTAAACCATCTTGACTGCGGGCATCTCCTGGATGTGGCTCTGCTGTGTGATTTCCCTTGCATTCTCACAGTGTCAGCTTGGGTAAGGCAACTCCAATTAAAACCAGTCCTGTATCTGGAAGGGTGCTGGCATCCAAGCTGGCTGTTTCTGGGTGGCAAAGAAAATGAAGCCAACACTGTGCGCAGGAGGTTTTTCAAGACACTCCCAACCATTTGGCAAAGCACTTGCAGCCACCACAGGAGTGAAATCCTGCTCAGCCCATGGGGCTGTGGACTAGCAGTTGGGGCACAGTGCCTGTTATCACCTGGACCTGGCTGGCGCTCCTTGCTGAGGGCTTCTCCTGTGGATGGCATGAGCAGAAGCGGCTTCAAAACCAGGGTGGGGAGAGCAGCCGTGTCTCAGGCAGACAGCGGTGGCTCCTAAGGCTACAGGGTTGGGGTGGAACATAACTGTGCCCTCCAAGGCACTCATCAGGCCCTATCCAGAGGGAGATCTGTGCCAGCTCTCTGGGGACCCTGGCAGGAGAGCAGTTACTGGTTTCAGCCCCACTGGCATCCTCTGGGTGCAGGCACCAGTTCAGCATATTCAGCTCCCAGAGCACCCAGGGGCCTTGCTCCCGGCTGGGAAGCTCCTTCCCCACACCACCTGGCTGCTGACAGCTTCTTGCAGGCACATGGGGCTCATCAGATTTCCCCCAAGCCCTTCAGTTCTCCTGTAACCGTTTGACATATATTTATGCTCGTAAAAGCTACCTCAGAGGCTGCAGGCCACTTGCCTTGCCACATGGCTGGGTTACACACACTTATTACCAGGAGGCCTCATTGCACTGAATGGAGGCCAGCAGTACCACCTGGGGTGCAGGATGTAGCCCCTGGCATATCAGAATTACAATATATCAAAAAAGGAGATCAGAAACCTTTTATCTTGTTATTGTAGGATCTGCAGATAAACTTCAGAAATAAAAAACAGGTTAAAGGAAAATGAAATAATCCACATATCTAGATTTAATATCCAGCCTCATACCGATGCGTTACTGAAAAATGATCTGGAGGGAAGATAGCTCCTGCACTGGGGACTGAGATCAGCAACATAATCAGAGTAAATGAAGGGTTTTCTTGTGGTGCTTGGTGGAGAAATCCCTGTGACGTGGCTGTGCTCACTATAAATAAATAAAACTTCAGAAACCAGCACACAGCAGAGATGAGATCTGAGCCTCGTAAATGAGTAAACCACTGCCCATGTACGAAATCACTGCAGGTTTTGTGCCTGATCCTGTACGTATTAAACCTCCCCCATGTAAATAGTCCCCTGAAGTTAATGGAGCTGTACTAATTTGCAATGGCTGGGGATTAAGCCGTTGGGGTTAAGCATTTCTGCCAGCTCTGATTGCAGCACGTTGTAGTTACAGGGCTGGAGGATGACTTAGAGGTATTTCTGTTGTGGGAAAAAAACATCGGTGGCCATTCCACTATGTCAGCAGTGGCCCCAGAGCACAGCCCAGGTATGAGCACTCACCCTTCACAGGCTGTGTCCTTGCACAAATCCCACTCCTGCCCTGCAAAGGAGGGTGCAGATATATAGTCAGACACTACAGTGTAAAGCTCATTTCTCTCTTTCCTTCTCATGGAGGATGTGCCAATGTTTTCCAGAGACCGTTTCATTACTGTTATGCTGCTTGCAAGCATCTTAATTTAACTCACATTATAGATTCACCAAGGCAAAATGATCTATCCACAGCCTAAATAATAAACTGGAGCGAAAACATCCTTGGGCTGCAAGAGGCCAGAACAAGCACTAACTGAAATATATAAACTTACATAACATTATTTATAGAAAGGAGCCTGATTGTCAAAGGCCCTGAGAGAGCTGGAACATGGGACTGTTTGTTCTCCCCACAAAGAAAAATTAATTATGTAAGTTTATAAATTCCAGTTGCTTTGCTTGTCTCCTGATGTGCCTGAGGACTGCCTGAAAAGTATTTATGGTTCCTGGCCACTGCTTCTTGATGGCATTTTTTAACCTTCTACTTCTGCATGCCATTGCCTCGTAACATCTTAGAGCAGGGGATTAGCTTTACACACTGTGTTCTTTGGCCATAGAAAAATGCAGATTTGTCCTGAGGTTCTGCAATAGCAAATGTACTTTAAGGAGATGCCTGGAGGAGGCCATGGCTCACTGAGCCACCAGGCGTTTTGCAGAGGGCAGTGGGGTGGCTGCTGTGTTTTAGGAGCACAGGGAGAGAGACCTGACCCAGTCACAGGAGGCTGGGATCAGACACTTCTCTCTGTTTCAGCCTGCAGTCTTCCTGTTGTGGCTTTGCTTATTTTCTGTTTCACTGCCAAGAACAGAGATGCCATGAAGACTCTAATGCTCTACATGGTTTAATAGGCAAGGCAGGAAGATTGCCATTTATTACTAAAATGCACTGTATCATGCAATTTCCTGGTAATGCTGCATTTGGCCAGGATTTTGCCAGCTGGCCATAAAGCTCAGCAAATATGGCAGAGAAATTATGTGTTATCAACCCCAAATGATTAATGTTTCCTCACAGATTCTGTTCAGAGGAACTATGGGTTTTGTTCTGTGATCACTGTTTTTCCCCCCATTCACCCCTGTAAAGTGTCACTCCTCAGGGGTCTAGAGACACTTGTCAGCATCCAAAACCACCATTTATTCAATTGCCTGGTTTTAAATATTCTCCAGTACCATCTCATTACGAAAGCTAATGGCTGAGTGCTGGAGCTTCAGTGTAGCCAAACACTAAGTGAATTAAAATGCAAGTGAATTAAAATGCAAGCTCCAAGTCCCCTGCACTCAGGGGAGATAAGAAAATGTCATCGTAGAAGTATTTCACACCTCCCTGTTGGCCGATGTCCTCTGACAGCACCACATTTCAGGGACCTGCCCTTGGGTCCTGTGCTGCGATAATGCCAAGGGCCACCTGCAAAATGCCTGAGGCCAAATGCAATTCCAGCCCCCTCCTTCCAACATGCTTTCAAACCTATTTTCCTGCAATTTCTTGCAGGTCTACCTTGCAGTTCTGCCTTGTTCCCACCAAAAGGAAGGAGGAAGGGCAAGGCACTGGGGATTTGAGCATGGGGATGATCAAGGGGTAATGGCTTTGAACTGAAAGCTGGCTGGACATAGATTAGATATAAGGAAGAAATTCTTTTCTGTGAGGGTGGTGAGGCCCTGGCACAGGTTGCCCAGAGAAGCTGTGGCTCCTCATCCCTGGCAGTGTTGAAGGCCTAGTTGGCTAGGGCTTGGCGCAACCTGGTCTAGTGGAAGGTGTCCATGCCCATGGCAGAGGGTTGGAACTGGATGAGCTTTAAGGTCCCTTCCAATCCAAACCATTCTGTCATTCTATGAACTCCATTACTTCTGGGAGGAAAGCTTCATAGCACCAGCTCTGCCACCTGTGGATTTTTTGCTGGGACAACAATCTTGGGTGATATCCCAAAATAATCCTCCCCAAATGGTACTGGCAGTTCGGAGGTGGATTTGCAGCAGGTGAGGTTGTGGCTGCATCCCCCTTGAAACTCTTTCATTGGAGGTGACCCCAGGGATTACCCATGGGATTCAGCTACTGGGAAGAGGCATGTTTGTTGGTGTATGTGTGTCCCTCTTGAGGGGGGGAGGACTCATCTGCAGCTTTGCCAAGGTTTGACTAAACCAGGGTGACCTTTATGGGTAGAAACAGGTTTAGGTTGCTGTGCTGAGGTGAGAAAGTACCAATGGTGATGGCTGCCTGTCTCCCTGCACCATCACCTTTACCTCCCAACATGGTGAGACAGGCCTAGGAGCAGAGCTTTGGCCTTCATGTTGGATCAAACAGCACCCTGAGCTCTGCTTCCCCAGGATTTGGGAATAATTTAAGAGGCACATTTTAACAGCCCCGGCTCCAGGCAAGGACTCGTCGCCTGTTTTTCCATGTGAGGAGACCACATGAAACACAACGCATTAAAAAGTCATCAGCGGCTGCTGTGGAGGAGCACCACGTTCCCCTGCCCAGCACTGCCAAGGGGTACTGCCTTCTTAAAAAGGCTCCCTCTGTCCCCAGCACTGACTGAGCACCTCTTTATAAACGTTTGGCAGAAATGAAAGAACTGTTGAAACTCCCCAGAAGGGGAAGGAAACATTTCCACAAGCCATGTGTGGCAAACATGAGTCTTCAGGGAAAGCTCCTCAGAGACTTGCGCATCTGCAAATGGTCGGTAACTGTCTAAATCAGGAAATCCATGCAGAAAAACAGTCAGTTATTTTATTATAGATAGCAAAGAACTGATGTACAGGACAGAAAATCTATCAAAATATCAACCAGTTTATCAAAAAAGCTAAAGCACAATAAAATGGGGAGGTCACGGACTCCAGTGAAAACCCTCCCATGAAACACAATAAATGCAGATGTTAATGCTGATATTTATACCTGAAAAAAGGACCTGTAAGAAAGGAAAATAAAAAAGAAACGTAAAATAAAATGACAGTGAGTAACATGAGCAATGGGAAAGTAAATCGATACCAATATAAGTATGCCTCATCATCTGCTGCTTCCCATGGCCTGAAGCTTTATGAAGTACAACACCTGGATTTGGGAAAACACGGTGTGCTTAAACTGTTGGGGTTCTTTTCCAAATACAGATGTGCCTAGAAAAATACTCAAAAACTTCAGCAGTTCTGGGAATACACGGACCAAGAAAAAAGAAAATAGTGCTAAGAGAAATCATCTTGCCAAGCAGAGAACGCGTGCACAGCTTGCCAGTTGTGTAATGCGTGATTGAAAGCAACAGCACTCGCAGATATTTTAGGGAGCACCAGATCATAAACGAGTGGCAACTTGGAGGAATTCCCAGAAAACAAGAAGTGACTGCAGGAATAAATTGCAGAGCATTTTAGCGGTGAAAAAGGTGACATCTGAGGAAGAACCAGCTGAAGGCTGCAACATGTGGCTGTTGTTTGTGAGTCTCCAGTAAGAAGCAGCAGAGCTTGGGATGGGCTGTCCATCGTGTGCACAGTGCGTCATCATGGACATGGTGCCAGAGCTGCAGCAGCAGAACCTCACTCACCGCAGGACAAATCCACACAGGGAAGCACCAGCAAAAGTGGGACCAGAGGAAATTGCTGGTGCTCCTGGGTGCTGTCCCCTGCCTGAGCAGGATGTCCTGGCATGCTCTGTGCCCTGCCTCCACCAACACAATGCAGGTTAGATGAAATACCTGGACTTTGATTGAAACCAAACTTGCCCCAGCCTGGTGGTACACAGCGGTTCCACTCACAAGTGGTTTTCAGTCATTAGTAAACCAGAAAGGATGGATACTGGGCAGACTGCAGGTTCAACTGCAACAGTGCAGGTATAAAGGGGAGTTTTCCAAAGTTAAGGGTACTGGAGCATGGCATGACTTGTGTCTCAGTTCCTTCCCTGGCTGTTTCTGAAGCCTGGGCAGGGAAACCTCTCTCAGGGGAGAGGTGAGACTCAGGCACGGGCCCTCCTTCAGCTCTTCCTCCTGCTGCTTCCTATGTCACTCATTTTCCTCCTCTGGCTGTGCTGAGCTGCTTATGTCCCTGCTGTAAATCTCCAAATTGCCTGGCTTGACGAGCAGTGCAGGGTACACTGCAATGTGGCTGTTTCCCTGAAGGAAGGAGGAAGAGGAGGAGGAGAGATGTCCCTGGCATCACACTGCTGGCACAGCTCAGCATGCAGGCACATGAGCTGGTGCCTGTGGTAGGCAGCAGGTCTCCAAACAGGACGAGGCCCTTATAGCCAACAGGGCTGTGCTGGGATGTCTGCTCAGACAGACCTACACAGGAGGTCAGCATCCACATGTGGCCCGAGCCACAGCAAGAGCTGCCCAGCCACACGTTCAGGCTGAGTCTGGTTTACATCTGAGCTTTGAGGAAGGAATCTGAAATCTCTCCTGAAGTGTGTAAGCAGCAGCTTTCATTTGCCAACACCACAGAGATATTTAGTGGGACCATTGACAGCAAGTGACATTCCTGAATCCCAACAAATAGCCATGGATGCTCGTGTCCCTCACACAAGGAAACAAAGCAGAGCAGGCCTCTTTCTACAAGTTCAGTCAAAAATAGCCAATAGGTTCAAAACTCTGCAGGAAGGGACAGATGGATGGACACACACATAAACCATGCCAGCAAGATGGCATGGTCCTGCTCAAGGGGGAAATCTGTTCTCCGTGCCCCAGCTCCAGCTGGGGATTACAGCAGTCTGGGGAAGCACAGCATCCTCTTCCCTGACTATGTCAAACCTCATGAAGCAGAAACGATTTTACTGCCCTGTGATGCTCCTGTGCCCTGACCAAGAGCTGGGCAGTGTGGTCCTCAAAACACTCGGCTTTTTTCCCTCATTTTGCACAACAGCTTACGAAGATCCACCAAGAAGAAAATGAGGACATTAGCTATTCAGGGGAGCAACGATTAGGAAGGCAGAAGCAGGCACCCATAAAAACATGTCCCCTTTTAACTTCACACCCCTACCAGGAAAGTATCTAATCATTTCCTAAATGATCCTGATACTTTTTGCCTCAGCCTCCGTGCCTGGTTACCCATTCCACATATTTATTATTCTTTGCATGAAATAATACTTCCTGACATCTGTTCCCAGTTTGTTTCTCTTTAATTTCCATTTATAGCACATTTTCCTATCCTCTGACCATGTTAAAATAAAACAATAAGTATGTTTGACACAGTGCAAGTTACTTAAGATCATGATCCTTCCCTGACCCTGATTTTACTTTTTTTTTAAACATGCTCCAAAATGCAGAAAAACCCCTCCATTTTCATGAAAAAACAAGTGGAAAGCTCAGAGAATCATCAGCCACCCAGCATTCCACACCTGTGCCAGCAGCCACGTACCCATGGACCAGTGTGAGGATTGGCTGGTAGTTACAGTTCAGTTCCACTCTGACAAGTATTTGTTGCGGAGAGCAAGGAGCTATGGGGCTGTGCAGTCCTTCCATGAGATGGAGGGGAGAACCAGGGGGCCATAAGAGATGAGATGGCAGAGGGACAGGCACAGTAAAGGAAATGTTAATTCCCAATGCAGTGATGCAAATTGGCTTGAGTGATGCTTGGCCTTCTGACCAGGCAGATGGGAAAAGGTGCCCTTCCCTCACTCTGAAGAGATTCTGTGTCCAAGTGCAATCTGGCAAGTCCACAAGCAATAAATTCACAAGGAGGAGCAATAAGGAGTACTTCAGTTTTGGCACAAGAACATTTTATATTGTCATTTCTATCTTGGTACAAGCCCTCAATGTAATTTTAGCTCAGGAGGAGGTTGCTTATGAAGCTGAAATAAAACTGAAAGAATCAATGTGGCCTCCAACCAAATGTGTGTGCTGTCGTGGTTTAACCCCATCCAGACAGCTTGTTCACCCACTCCCCCCCCTTCTTGCCCTCCCCCTACTCCTGGAAGGATGGAGAAGAGAATCAGAGAGAAATCAACTCCCACGGGTTGAGATAAGAACAGTTTAGTAACTAAGGAATAACACAAATCACTACTGCTACCACCAATGATAATAATGATAAAGGAAATAACAAGGGAAGAGAATACAACACCTCATCACCAGGCGACCGATAACTCGCCCCCCCAGCCTGACCAAGCACCGACCGATACCTCCTCCAACCCCGCAGTCCCAGCCCTTCTGGTAACTCCCCGTTACCTCTGGGCATGACGTGCTGTGGTATGGAATACCTCTTTGGTCAGTTTGGGTCAGGTGTCCTGTCTCTGCTTCCTCCCAGCTTCCCTTCTCCCTGGCAGAGCATGAGGCTTGCAAAGTCCTTGGCCAAACCAAAACATCATTGTTTTCAGCTCTGTTCCCAGCCCGAAAGTCAAAACACAGCACTGCACCAGCTACCAAGAAAGAGAAAAATGACTGCTGCTGCTGAACCCAGGACAGTGGGCACACCTTCTGGTTAAGTACAAAACAGTGTACTGTGGTTAAGAGCACAAAACAGTGAGCCACTGTCATCACCAGCTGCTCCACCACCACCTTATGGACAATCAGGTATTTCTCCAGTAGGGACTATCATGCTCCATGCCCAGGACAGCCCCTCCAGGTCGTCCTGCATGGATAAGCCAGTCTGTGTGGTTATACATCCTGCTGTGACAGGGACGTGCACCCCTGAACGGAAACATCTGAAACAGAAAACAGTTCTCGGTCCTCTGCAGCAGAAGGGTGGTGGTTGCTCCGCAGTTTGGTGCTATGGCAAAGAGATGTGGGTGTCTCCACAGCCAAGGGCCAGAGCAACTTGGGGAACTCAGCTCGTGGTGCCCTATGCATACCTTATCTGCCTCTGGAAGCTTTCTTCACACAACTATTTTATCAACAGGGCTTTGGCCTGCAAGGCTGCCAAGGACATTTTCCTTTTATCCAAATTCCAAGCTGAATGAGCACACACTAGAAACCCTGGGTCTAACCTGGGGCTTTCTGAGGTCAAAACAAACATCATGACAAACAGGACTAAGAGCAGCCAAGTTAAACTGTGCTCTGACAAAGCACTGGCCTCTCAAACACACCGTGCAGCTTGGTGCCAGGGCTGCACCACTACCCACCGAGAGCTGGAAGGCTGATGAGGGTGGATGGTCTTTGGGGAAGCAGGTCAGAAGTGGCTTTGAAGGCTTGCCAGCAGATTGCTGGATCGGGTGCTCAGCACATGTAGGAGGGCTGCTCCTTTGGGAGAACTAGCATTTCCCAGCCCTGTGGCTCCTCTGGGTTGCCCTCTGGCTCTCCATAGTGTTGGGTAGGTGTGACTGGATGGTCTAGCAACACTGCCCAACCTCACACCCTCAGGATCCATTTAATCCTCAGCAGCACAGACACTCCCATTACAGAAGTGTGTTTGTCTCTGCTCCCTGAACTCGCTGCACTTCACCTTCTCTCCTGGACTTTAAGCTCGAAGCAGACACAGTTCATGTGGGTGGATTTGCTCTACATAGCCCATGGTTTGGAAGGATAAACATGAGTCCCCCATAGTCTGCTTGTTTCTTGTGCTCATTTCTTCCCTGCCACAACTGGCCAATTTACCTTTGCTGTTCATCCAGCCCAGTATTTACAGCATCTGCATGACTCAGAGATTGACTGAGGGGAAAAAGAGAAAAGCTACGCTCCACTCAAAGGCCTGATGATGCAAAGCTTTATGCAAACAACACCACTGCTGGCTTGGAGAACAGGCCTGGAGGAGGGGATGGAGAAAGCTTCATAGTGTGACTTAGCCCATACTTGGTTGTGAACGCATTCTGCGGTTTTAATCAGGATTTAACAATCATTAGCTAGATTATGTGCACAAAGGGGAATAATGAAAAAGTACCGAGGGCCATTCATTTTCTGAGTTCCAATCTCTTTATTTGGTTAAGTGGTCTGAGTCAACGAGTTCATGCTCTCCTCTATTTCAGAGAGCTTCTTCAGCATCTGGCTCACCTTGGCCTCATCAAACTCCAAACAGAGGAACTCCGATTCCTACAAAACAAAATTGTAAGAACAATAGTTGAGAAAGATAACAGGGTTTCAGATATACAATGGAGGCAGGACAGCGAGTTCTGGTTTCCTGATAATATGCGTCCTGTGTCCCCTTTCTTCCCGGTACCACTCAAATAACCTCAGTAGACCCAGATGCTGGCTCCACACCAACCGAGCGAGAGCAGTACGTGCCAGCAGCTGCCAAAGTGGACACAGGACAGCTGAGCTCTGCCCACCTTTCCTTTCAGTGTAGGCATCAGTTTGGGTCTCTCCTTAGCTGCAGGCTTCTGCAAAACTTGTGGAAATTGAATTATATGTGAAAATTCCCCTTTTCTTTCCAATCCACAAAGCTGTTGCTTCAGACACTGGGAACTGCAAAGTGACTGGAGCTGCCGCACAAAGCTCATTACATACAAAACCAAGGTTTTATACAGGGAAAAATCAGACTCCCAAACAGAGTTGTGTACAGGACATTCCAGTCTGGAAATTCAGGAGAGTTTTATACTCTCTTGTACATGGGCTGTAGTGTCAATACAGACTTAGAAGTGAGTTGTGAAGCAGCACTGATTCACTCTGAAAAGTCCTGTCACGTCTTGAAAAGTAGTTATCTATTGACTAGATGGATATTGGGATATAGTAAAACAATATTTTTGAAGGCCCAGATAATAAAGAAAAAAAAATATGTAAAAGAATATGCATGTATATATGAGGGTATATATATATATATATATAAAGTTTCAGTGATATGGAACCAAATAGTGAGATCTCCAGCCCATTAACCTTACCTACTGCTATGTCTACAGTTACAAAGCATTTCCTACAGTGAATCTGGCAGAAGTAATATTCAGATTGCCAGAAGCCTGTGTCCTAAAGGTCATTCCAGGTGAAGCACCGTCAGTGACAGAGAAACAAACTGAAAGGGTCTGGAGATGGAAGTGCAGCTGGTACGGAGGAGGTTTCCTTATGAGACACTGGAATAGTGTCAGCCATGAGAATCACTGTATATCCACCAAGTTTCTATATGCAACACAGGCCCCGTGGTGCTTGTAAAAGCAGAAGGGCATCTCCGGGTCTCACCTGTTTTCTGGCAGACTAAAATTTCTATCATTATTTCAAAATATGTTTTTTTTTCATATAATTAACCCCTTCCAAAGCCACCACAACTTCATCCTTTATGTTTATGGAATTAATAGTTAACACACAAGGATAAAATCACCGGACAAATTAAACCCATCAACTGGGTTAATTTTAGGACTGCTGCAAGCATTTTCATTAAATGTTTATTATCTTATCTGCTAACAACCAAATCAACCAATGGACCAAGGGACAGAGGTTTGTTGTAGATTTAGCATGTGGGTGCTTCTTATTAGAAAGGCTTTCACAGAACTAAGGAGAACTGTGTTTGAATGATGCACCAGTAAAGTTCAGTAATAGTCACATAGGTAAATATAAACCACGCAGAATATACAGGTGGCTACTAGGAAAGGCCTTTGTGTGAGCAAGCGATTATGTTCATCAACAGCATCCTACTGGAAACCATAGGTTGTGGTTTTCTTTTTTTAGAGCTAATTATTAATCTCTATAGCATCAGTTAGTACATTCCAAAACTTCACAGAAGTAGCATTAAACATTTAGGATCAATGACAAGAGAGATATGAAATCTAGGACTTGGAAGCAAGGGCTCTCTCACATCATTTTTCTTGTTCTTGACAATGGTTATTGACACATCTTATGGAAATACCTTGTATAAAATATCTCTGCAAGTGTAATTACAGCAAAGCATAATTACAGCTGGTCACTGTGCAGAAGGAAGATGTTTGGTGATGAATTTGACAGCTTAACTCCACAGCCACAGTCCTCAACAGGCCAAACTCCAAGGCCAAACTCCTGGTGACATACCAGGCTTTCCAGCCACAACTGTGCACCCCAAGTCATGTGAGCCCATCAACTTCCCCAGGCCAGGGTTTGCCCATGCAACCTCCAACATCTGCATAAGCTGATTTTAGGGTTTAATGACACAGCGCGTGTGAGCGAACAGAAGAGCAAAGTGCCCAGCTTTGGTGGAGATGTTTTTACACAAGCCTAAGGCATAAGGAGCCTTTTTTTGCCCCCCTCTTCAGGTTTTGTCAGTTAAAAGAAATGTAGACTGAGCAAAAGGACACTCCTGGATTACATTAAGACTCTGCAAGACATTTTATACAAGCTTGAGTGTACTTTTTAGTACTTTAGTACTTAGTACTTTAAAATGAAGCGGCTAAAACTTTCCTATGAGGATTGTATGGTACCTCGTTATGACAGTCTCATGTGGGCCAATCTAAAACATGACCAAGAGGGCTGTGTTTTTTATTTAATGCCTCATCAGTTTATACCCTCCATGAAAAACAGGAAGAAAAAAGAAGACAGAGCTGTGAAATTCTAAACTCCCCTTTGCTCTCCTCAGGTGTCCTCCAGGAGCAGCACAGATTTGGTACCTCTGCTCCCCCTCAGCAAGAAACACGGCATCTCTTTTGGTGCTTCCTACTGCTAAAGAAAATTTCAGCCCCCTTGGAGCCCAAAACCAAAATGGAACAAGTTATTCATTGCATGCAAGTCCTGAAGAACAGCACACTGGGCTTCAGCTGAGCTCTTTATGGAGATCGTGGGTTCATAGAATGGCCTGGGTTGGAAAGGATGTTAGAGAACACCCCATTCCGACCCCCTGCCACAGGCAGGGACGCTTTCCACTAGGGCAGGCTGCTCAAGGCCTTGTCCAACCTGGCCTTGAGATGGACAGGGTCTTTAGAAAAAGGCACATGTATGCACATAAGCAGGGCCATTAGAGCATAATTGTGTGCAGTGGCAACAGCACGTGCATCCCACCTTCAGGCTGGAAAG